ATTTTGGGATCCTGCGGCTCCCTGCAGTGATTGACACCGCCGGGGGTTAATTAATGCGTTAATTAATGCGCTAATTAAGCAGCTAATTAAGGAGTTGTGTAAGGGGCCTTACCTGGGGGGATGGGCCCAATGTAGCTCCGCCTCCCTGGATTTGCATAAAGCCTTGATTGACACCTGGGGGGGGGGATTGATGGGATTTGGGGTGTGACCAGCTCAGGCCACGCCCACCCCGAGGCCACGCCCACTCACCAGCACTTCCGGCTCCGCCCCCGAGGCCAAGATGGCCGAAAGCTCCACCCAGGACTGGCCTGGCCTGAGGGGAGGGACCCAAAAATTCCATCAGGAACCCAAAAAATTCCATCAGAGACCCCAAAATTCCATCAGAGACCCCAAAATTCCATCAGGATCCCAAAAAATCCTCTCAAGATCCCAAAAAATTCCATCAGGATCCCAAAATTCCTTCAGGATCCCAAAATTCCATCAGGAACCCAAAAAATCCCATCAGAGACCCCAAAAAATCCCCTCAGGATCCCAAAATCCCCAAAGGATCCCAAAAAATCCCATCAGGATCCCAAAAAATTCCATCAGAGACCCCAAAATTCCATCAGGACCCTAAAATCCCCTCAGGATCCCAAAATTCCTTCAGGATCCCAAAATCCCATCAGGATCCCAAAAAATCCCATCAGAGACCCCAAAATCCCCTCAGGATCCCAAAATCCCCTCAGGATCCCAAAAATTCCATCAGGATCCCCAAATTCCATCAGGATCCCAAAAAATTCCATCAGGAACCCAAAATTCCATCAGAGACCCCAAAAATTCCATCAGGATCCCAAAAAATTCCATCAGAGACCCCAAAATTCCATCAGAGACCCCAAAAAATTCCATCAGGATCCCAAAAAATTCCATCAGGATCCCAAAAAATCCCATCAGGATCCCCAAAATTCCATCAGGATCCCAAAAAATTCCATCAGAGACCCCAAAATTCCATCAGAGACCCCAAAAATTCCATCAAAGACCCCAAAATTCCATCAGAAACCCCAAAATTCCATCAGAGACCCCAAAATTCCATCAGGATCCCAAAAAATTCCATCAGGATCCCCAAAATTCCATCAGGAACCCAAAAATTCCATCAGAGACCCCAAAAAATTCCATCAGAGACCCCAAAATTCCATCAGGAACCCAAAAAATTCCATCAGGATCCCAAAATTCCATCAGGATCCCAAAATTCCATCAGAGACCCAAAAATTCCATCAGGATCCCAAAAAATTCCATCAGGATCCGAAAAAATTCCATCAGAGACCCCAAAATTCCATCACGATCCCAAAAAATCTCTTCAGGATCCCCCAAAATTCCATCAGAGACACCAAAAAATTCCATCAGGATCCCAAAAAATTCCATCAGAAACCCCAAAATCCCATCAAAATCCCAAAATCCCCTCAGGATCCCAAAAAATCCCATCAGGATCCCAAAAAATCCCCTCAGGACCCCCCAAAATCCCCTCAGGATCCCCAAAAATTCCATCAGGATCCCCAAAATCCCCTCAGGATCCCCAAAAATCCCCTCAGGATCCCCCCCCCAAAATCCCCTCAGGATCCCAAAATCCCCTCAGGATCCCCAAAATTTTCACCAGAGACCCCAAAATCCCCTCCCCACCTTCCAAATTCCTCCCCAAAAAATCCCCCAAACCCCAAAATTCCTCCTCTAGGACCCCCCAGATCCATCCCAGGATCCCAAAATTCCCAAACTTTCCCCCAAATTCCCAAATTCCCCCCAAGCTCCGCCCACTTGCCCATATAAGGAAGTCCCAGTTAAGCCCCGCCCCCGTTTACCTTTGCTGGGGGGGCTTTAGCGCCCCCTGCTGGACGCGGCTCAGCCAATCAGAGCCCGGCTCCGCCCCCAGCAGCCGAAGCTCCGCCCCCCGCCGAAGCTCCGCCCACCGGCGGCTCTGCCCCACCCCCAGCGAGGACTCTGGGGGGGGAGGGGAGGTCACAGACCCCGAAATTGGGGTGGGGACCCCAAAATTTGGGGTTTGGGGGCTCAGGGGATCCCAAAATTGGGGTTTGGGGGCTCAGGGGATCCCAAATTTGGGGTTTGAGGGGCAGAGGGACCCCAAAAATGGATGTGGGGACCCCAAAAATGAGGAGGGTTCCCCAAAATTTGGG